GGAAAAACAAACTCCCCTGCGCCTCCACGCCTCAGAGTTTGTTTTTTTTCCTAGGAACAACAAACATCAACAAAACCCCTCCCCGCGGACTTTGTGTTTTTGGTAGCACAAACAAACCCCCTGCACCCCCTTGGCGCCCAAGCCACTCCACCTAGCGTCACTGAAACAATCAAACTTCTACCATCGGAGTTTGTTTTTTCACGCTGAAACAAACTTATCTGGTCGGTGTTTGTTTGTGCCCGCCGAAACAGTTCGTCGGGCCAGAGTTTCGGAGTCCCCGAAACCTTGCTCTTCAAGACCAAAACAAAGATGACCGGCAAACGTTTGTTATTTTCCGGAGAAACAAACTCAGCCCAGGGGAGTTAGTTTTCACTCGAAGAAACCCCGGCCAAGCGAGGTAGTTAGTTTCCCCCACCCACCGCCCTCCCACTGGAGAAATAAATTATACCAAAGCAAATTAGTTGGTTTTTCAATAGAACAAACCCTGGCCTGGCGAGTTAGCTAGTTACGGCTTCAACTCTGGAAATAATACTTCTAAGTAAAGTTTCAATCTCTTAGAATAAACTACCTAGCCTCCGCCACTTGTCCACCTGCAAAAGCGCATCTTACCTCAGTCTGGATTCTCCTCGACAGCCCGTTTTAGCCAGTGTGCTGGTGCACAAGCCCGAAAATCGATAGCCAGGTGAAACCTGGCATGTCGAAGTTCGTGGTGATGGAAGACGGTCACGAGAGGTGCCTGGGATTGCCTGGGCGGGCTAACGGCCTGTACGTGGTCTGTCTCTGCAGGTTCCGATTCGATGTGTCGCGAGACCTCTGCGAAGAAGGTGCCAAGTGTGTGGCGAGGGGGAGGTTGAGAGAGGTCAGGCTAAAGCCGCCGGCACATAGCACACGGCAAAAGCAGGAAGGTTGTGCACTGCATCTGGCCCACCACCACGTTGCAGCCTCACAGCGTCAATGTGGTGATACTATCAGAAGGCGGATGCAATAGGATGCAATATTCAGTAGTTCTAGCGTGCAGCCGCCGACATAACGGAAGGCCAGCAACTCCACAACCAATCACGAAATATGTTTTTTCTGTCATTACCACACCGAAGCCGAACAGTCACAGACGCATCTGGATTAAACACAAAGCCACGAATTCTGCTTTTGGCCAGGTCTCTTCTTCCGCGGCTGCCTGCGGCTGGACCTTGCTGGAAGGTGCCTTTGTGGAAGAGGGCTGAAGGCCGAGGGCCTCCAGCCGAGTCTCGAGCGCTCTTTGCAGGCGGCTGTCTGTGCTTCCAGCCGGGCTCGACGATCAAGGCTGGATGCCCACACATGCCCATGCTCTTGCTCTCTGCTCTGCCTGGCTCCGAGGTCGGATGCTTCCATGGGCCGATGCCGGAAGGAGATTCGCAGAGACGTGACTAGCCGAGGTTCTGAGAAGCTCATGGGATCAAACTGCTGATTGGACAAGAGCCTTGATGATTTCGTTGCTCTGACCTGTCTGTCCGCAGCCAGTTTACCGGTCACAGACATGCCTGCACACGCGTATCACTATCACATGCGTATCGCTCGAGTGCGAGCGTCATGTGCAAGGCATCATTCCCCCCAAAAACCCCAAAACCCGAAACCTTGCAAGAGCTTCTCAGGCCCCCCATCCCTTGCGACCATGGGGCGGGCTTGCCTGAGCTGATTTGTCAACTGAGAACGGATGCACTCTCCTGGTGCTCGGGAAAGTGCCGGACCAGATCAAGAAGGCAGCCGAGGATGGAGGAACCTGGCAGCCACCGATGCCCAGACAAAGTTCAAGGTCTTGGTCTTAGAGCGCACATGATCGCTGAGCGGGAAGTCATCTCCTGCATTTTTGACTGTTAGAAGGTGCCGTAGAGTTCCAAAGCGCCATGACAGTCAATGACAATGACATACTGTACAAGGACATTATGATAGGAATCTTGGCATCAGGGAAGCTTGTTCCTACGGATGTGACAAGTCACACCATGTCAGATCAATGCCCGCACTGCTCGTGCATACGAGGATAGATGGGGTTCAGATCTCGAAAATAGTTTGGTTGGTGAGCAAGCTACCATGCGAACTCAGGGCAGCGCTGACGATGAGGATCGGGCCCTGTGGGAGTTGGTCTCGGTAGCATGACAGAGACGCTTGCAGATCTAGCTCCGCACGAAGGAAGAGACTATTCAACCTTCCCGGGGTTCAAGCTCCATTCCTAGGGAGTATAGGTGCGCGTGTGTTGTGTGCGCGTGCGCGCCACCTTGTGACCGGTGAAGGATTCCGAATTGCGCCGAGCAGTGAGCTTCTTCCCCAAAGGCCGGGCGGGACTTCGCACAGCGTGACTCCAGATGTGGATGGGGTAAGGTGGACGGATAGGGGAAGTGGTGTTTTTGGTGGTGAGTGAGTGGTGGCAGCTACTGCTGCCACCTCAGCTCACCTTACCCTCAGCCTAAGCCCTAACATTCCTCATGGTGTCTGCTCGCTTGTTTTTCAGGGCGGCGGCTCTCCCGATGCTGTGGCAGCATACCGGTGTGCTTCCGAGATGCGGACAAGGCAAGGCATGCTGGTTGTGCGACGGTATTAGGCCGCAAGGGTCTCCACGGAAATGTCGGCTTGCCGTCAGCCTCCGCACCAGGCACGGGGCTCTGAACTCGTGGCTCGTCGTTCCTAGCTGTACCCATCCCGGTGACTTGGGCCCGAGCTGTAACCATCCCGGTGACTTGCACACAGCCTTGACGGCATTCCATGTGTCCGTAACCTTTCTGTGCACGAACCAGGTTCTCATAAACCAGTGGAAGGGCCTAAAAGCGTGCAAGCATGCTGCCTCTCCTTTCTCACCCGGTGCTAATGTGGTTGCTTACCCCTGCCTCCTCCTGTCCTCACCACTGCAATGGCACATAAGTTGGAATCATAGGTAGTTAGGGTCTTGGTCATGGCCTTACACCGCCAAACCCTAAGCCGTAGTCTTCTCAGTCTTAAGTCTTAAGTCGTAACCAAAGCTTCAGCCACGATAGACACAAGAGTGGTTACATGTTAAGAACACCAATCTCGGAGCAGTATTCGGTGTGTTGCTTCCTGCAAAGGAGCAACCGAGTGTGTAGAGTACTCGAGCTTGTCATGTCCTGTAGGTCTTTCGAGCAAAGCTTGACCTGTCCACGATCTATCTTCTTGTTGTCGGTGCCTTCCAAGGCTCTTGTTTCCATTGTCTGTGATGATCGAACTTGCAGGAGCAGCAGTATCGGCAACAGAAGAGACAGAGGCGCAGCAACTCAATGCTATAGGGTTTTGGGTTGCTCGTGTTTCACCACCCCCCCCCCCACCCTGAAGATGCTGACATGCTTGCGGTGTTTTGCCAACCTCAGCTCAATGCATGAGAGACCAGAGAAGACGCTTACGAGCAGACTGTTTGTGTCTAAGGCTGCGGAAAGTTATGTGTCGCATTTGCTTCGTCAGCTTGGCTGCTAGCTTGCAATGATGCCACGCGCTGCATCTGACCACCACGGCATGCTGTTACGCCTTTCAACCACGAGCTTGTTCCTGTGAGGCCTTTATGCCATAACGGAGGTAAGCAGGATCAGTAAGACATGAAGCCGAATGGACCTCTGCAAGGCCTGTGTAAGGATGTGCAAGGAGGACCGAGGCGTCCAGAGCAGGTTTTGAGGACCGAACGTTTGCTTAGGTTGCACATATCTTCGTGGTACTTACCGATCTCCCAACAGTGGCTGCTCGGAACTGCATCACGACATGCCTTCTGCTTGGTGGTGTTCGTGTCCAGCCGCGAATTGCGAGGGATGAATGCAACAAATTTGGTTTTCCACTCTGCTCTCGGTTGGATGTCGAGTACATGCCCGACTTCTATTGAGCTGCAGCACGCATAGTTAATGTCTGCAATGCATGTCGAACTGAGGATTTCGAAAATCTCACACACGGCGCGCAGCTCTACTTGGGAAGCCTGAACTCCGGATGCAATCTGACCGTTGAAGCGATGCAAGCCCAAATACCTGAGACCATCCCATACTCAAGTCATTAGCTAGCTTTCAGCTTGACTGGTCGGAATTCGCACGCACGGTTGACCGAAGCGTCGTGCGCTCGAGTTGCATTTTTCGCTTCAGTCACAGGTGGTGCCTTTCCCAGTCAGTGGCCTAAGGACGATTGTTGCCTTCACTTCGACGGTTGGGATGGTCTGCAACATGCTGCCTGAGGCGATTGCAGAGCAAGAGAGACTAGGACTAGGCCTAGGAGTGCCTAGAGGAGCTAGAGCAAATGGGCACGTAGGCTTATCGGCTCTGGCCTACCCCGTGAGGTTCTGGTGCCCTGGCTCTTCTTCGTCGCATCCTTTGGGCTTATGACGCCTGGTCGCAGCAGAGCAGAGCAGAGAACACTGCGAGAGCAGCGCCTTGAGTCTGGAGCAGCTTAGGGTTTCAAACCGATCGCGAGCCGCTTTCCTCGCCGGCGAGGCGCTTTCAGAAGCCCCCTCGGAACAGCTGGACGCGTTTGCCTTTTGTAAGTCATCTTCATCTTTGTCTCTGTCTGCCAGTCTGTCGAAGTCGCCTTTGCGAACATCGCCGCGATCTCCGACTTGGCATACTGCGCGCTGCTGTCGGATTCCAACTTGGTGGGCAGCTAGATATCATGCTCAGCTTGTTACAGGGACAGACGTTTCCGGCAGTCATTTCCTTCGTGCCTGTGTGCAACTGCCTCAAGTACTTACGGAATTCAGTCAGTTCTCATGCAGAGTTGGAGCAGTGAACTGTGTCGCAGCAATCTGAAATCTCTGCGCAGTGTTCCTTCGCTCAAAAATACAACTTGCCCCCAACACTGCCGAGTACGGGAAGTGAGTGTTTGCGTCAGGCGGAGTTTTTGTACTTGCTACTGCAATGCGTAAGACGATCTCAGGCAATTTAGCGTGCCTCATCGTCGTCTACTATGTGGTGTTGCCGGTCCGTGCCATTGCGGGGAACTGAAGAAAAAGCAGTGTGCAAGCAGTGCGCCAACCTTCGAAGATCCGTCAAGCTCTTCAGGCTGGCGCCTGGTTGACTGCGGGCATCCCCGTCCTTTATCTCGTCTTCACGGTGCCCAAGTTTGAGAAGGACGGTGGTCTGGCACCACGGCGCTACTGTGTTACTAGCAGAGATATCTGTGATGACACACCGATGCGCTGTTCTCTCTGGCTCAGACGATCAGACGATTGCCTTCCAAGGCACGAACACTCGGCGTCGCGATCCGTCTGCTCATCTGCTGCCTAGTGGGTCTCCTGTCCGGAGACATAAAAGAAAGGAGGACCTGCCAAACATGCAGAGTGGTTTGAGAAGCATGCGAACTTATTTCGGTTATTTCGGAAAGCCTTGCCAGCTGTATTTGGGTTCTTGTCTAAAGGTAAGGGTTGGGTGATAAGCAAAGGTCGCGCCAGATTTTGTCTCAGATGTCGAAGCTTCGGGTACTGCTGCGAGAACTGTCCCAATGCCCAGCTTGAATAGAGGCAAAGTTTTTGCATGCTGTCTCAGCTTCAGAGGCTTGGTCGGCCGGTGCTACATTGAGATGGGCGAGAGGCCAGCGACTGTTCAGTGCACTCTGGAAGAGGAAGGATGACAATTCTGGTCGGAGATGATCCTCCTGATTCAGGTCGGCCTTCCTACGGGTGCGCAAAGTGGAGGAGGCATGAGGAATACTGTGCCTTACGGGGTCAGCTCTTCACTTAGCGAGCCTGGCTTGCTGTTGCAGCGGGTTCTGCTTCTGTCTTGGTTTCATGGACGATTGGCATGTGTGGCTGCCGTCAAGCTGGTATGGAGGACTTGACCCAAGAGAAGGTTCTTCGTTTTGCTGCCGAGCACGAGAATGCGAGCCTTGCCTTGCTTGTCAGAACTTCTAGCTTTCCGGACACTCTACGCATCATTGTAAATCGCGAATGCTTGAGCATTTGCAGTGCATCAGGCACGCATGCGGCATGCTGGTCATAGCGATGTCGAGCATGCCATACTTGTAGCGACAGAGGCTGCGGTCATTGCATTTGCACGCACAGTTCCTCCAAGCCCCGGGCTTTCAAGGAAGGGACCCTTTTCCCAGAAGGCCGAGGCTGAGGACTCTGGGGAGCCACAGCAGCTGCTTGCCAGCACAAGATGCAGCTCACTGCGTTCTGATCGTTACATCGTCGCATGCGTGTCTGGGTTGAAGTGCAAGGCCAAACACAGCTGCCGAACGTGAGAACCGTAGTCTCGTCGTTCCCATCAACGACGCTGCTAGTGCAGTGGCTTCGATGGCGAGCCGTCCTCTCAGCAGCCACTTCGTCGCACTGCGCCAGGCTGCCCGTAACAACTCCTGTGACGCTATCAGTTGAAGTTGACGCATCTTCGACTCCATGTGTTTGCTGCAAGCAAGGCATTATCTTCACCCCGTCCGAGTCGAGCGTGATGGCAGCAAAGATTCGCAAGTGTGTGTGTGTGTGTGGTACATGTGGTAGGGCATGCACCATGCTGAAGGCATTTGCTTTTGCATGCTGTGGTAAAAGCGCCAACCCATTTAGGGGAAGTGCCGGTCGAGTTGCAGCTGTCGGCCATCAAGGCTCCGATTGAAACGCGTTCGGGTGTAAACGAGTGACGCAGAAGGGAATTGCAGGGAAGGAGAGGCAGCCACTCGGGCTTTCTAGGTTTTGTTAGGTGTCCCAAGTCTCGTACTCAAACATCCACTGGAAAAGCTTGGAACTCTTTACTTCAATCGTGACCAACATTGCAAGAGGTTCCCGTTGTCCTGCATCGGGGTAGCGATCGCAGGCCGTTGCTGCCGAAGAGAAATGGCTCATCCCCTGGTCCGACGTGACGTTCCAGTCCAACCTTCTTGGACTTTGGGGCTGCAGAGTTCAAAGCCTGCGCTGTAATTCAGCTGGTGATTCTCTCAGGAAAGGGCGGCTACGCCATGGTTGTGCAAGGCCAATATGCAGGCCGCCGGCCGCTTCTTCTGCGCGGAAAGAGGGGTGGCGGTCCCGGGCTCCTCGAGTGCTGCCCAGGTGCGCGTGTGGCGGTAAAGATGCCCTCCAAGGAGCAGCTTTCCACGCGGGCAGCCTAAAACTCTAGAGCACCGCTGCGGGCACTGCGCCTTGAATTGAATCCTTAGGTCCAAAGAGGTTTCGGACTTCTTTGGCAAGGCAGGGACTCGCTTTCTCAAGTGGGAGGAATCGTCAACCACTCAATGGAATCTGAGTTGTGGCTCAGTTTTGCGGCTCAACGCCTCAGTAGTACCAGTCGTGGTGGTAGAAGTAGTAGGGTTAGTGGTCGTGGTGCGGCAGCGGTAGCGGTGGTGCCAGCGGCAGTGGTGGTAGTAGGAATACCACTAGCACCAGCAGCAGCCCCGGAGCAGCAGCAGCGGCAGCGGCAGCGGCACCAGCACCAGCGGCAGCAGCAGCAGCGGTAGCTCGTCGTCTTCGTGGTCATCACCTGCATCAGCATCATCACCACCACCGCCAGCCTCGTCATTCTGATTCTATCCTATCCCACCTATCCCATGGCTCCCGATCGTATCATGTCAAGCCATCAAAATCCTCACCGCCATGTTAATGGCCGGCCATCGGCATCCTCGCCCCATTTTGCCCTCATCGTTTGCGTCATCATGTCCTCTTTTGTTTTCGTCTTCGTCATGGCCATGTCTATCCTCACCATCTTCACCTTTACCATCCCCACCATCCTCGCCATCACGGTCGTCATCATCATCGTCATAACCACCACCACCATCAGCATCATCATTATGATGATCATCATCATCACCCTCACCTGTCCTCCTCCTCCTCCTCCTCCTCCGCCGCCTCTTACGCCTCCTCCCCCTCCTCCTCCTCCTCCTCCTCCTCATCACTGTCCTCATCATCCTCACCGTCATCAGTCGTTGGTACGTGAGCGTTTTGCAAATCACAGGGCAAAGGCGTTATACGCCCTTTCTGAATGAACACGACGTTGGTAGTGTACAGCCCACCGATCATGCAGTGCTCGGGCGAAAGACCACATGTTGCAAAACGATCTAGCCGCAGCCTTGTTATGGGGCCGTACCGTCAGCTCTTGTCCAAGTCCAAAGTCCGCCTCAGGTGTGCATGTCGCAGGTTCTACGGAGACAGTGTAACCCTGCTTGTTGCTCAGGAGTTGCGGGTGCTTCGCCACCTGCGCCATCCGCACCTTGACATCGGTTGCTTTTCGGTGTCTCTGGTGCTTTAGTATGTGCTCTCAGGTTCATTGTGAACTTCTACGGCGCTTGTATAGAGGACACCAAGCAGCTGGTGGTTCTCATTGAGGAGCGAATCAAAGTCTGCCATTGCAAGTAGAGTTGCCTTTGCCCTTCTCAAACAAACACAAGACTCGGATGACTCGGCAAGGAGTACATTGACGGATCAAGCCTACACGCAACTCTTCAGCACATGGCCGTTCGGATCCGTGGCTTGCGGACGGGGTCGTCAACGGGTGCCATCCACGCAACTCCGGATACGGAGCACTCGAGCTTGAATCTCTAAATCGGTTTTGGTCGGTGAATAGCAGCAAATCATTCCGCAACCTATTCTAGAGTCACGATCAGAAAGGCAAAAAGCAGCAGTATATTCGACAGAGCTTCTCGGGCTGCTTCTTGCCGAATAAGCTTCTTCTAAGCTGTTGCCATGGTGCTTTGGGGTGAATATGAGAGAGAGATTTGGCCGAACATGACGGGGCACTCGATCAAAATGAGTTCGGGCGTCAGAGAATTCACGAAGGTAGAGCCTTGGGATGCCTTGAGTCCTGGCCCTGTCTTTTCTTCTTTGGCTCCGGCCCATAGCTCGCAGGTGCCCTCATGTTTGCGGAGCAGCTTAGGACATGATCCTCTTCCAGAAGGACAAGCGGCCACTGACTCTGCAAGATGCGCTGGTGTCCTATCCATGTCTCCAAGCAGTGCAGTCAAAGCGGCACAGCCGGCGCGCACGGCAAATCGAGCAGACAAATCGTGGCTACACAAGAGACTTTGCAACCGCGAGGTTTACAGAGCAGGTCAGGTGGCAGACTCTCAGCTCTGTGACTTGGCTGTGAGGGCTTGGTTTTCAGCGAAACTCGCATCTTCTGACTTCTCAGGTCACCAGCAGTGGGTTCCGGGGTTCCGTCGAGGTGTTCTGTTTCTGGGAAGTCCAGCTCGCACATCTCGATGCAGCATAGCTTCCAGCTTACTTAGCGGTTTATCAAATTTCTTAGTTTGCGAGGTCGGTCATGCCCTGATGTACTTGCACGATCAGGCTCACGGGGGGGAATGGACCTGTGTTGGTCATGTGTGCGGTGCACAGGGGCCAGCCATCCTGCATGGCGACCTGTCAGCCAAGAACATCATGATGCGGGCCGACAGGCTCGGCTCGGTGGGCGCTGTCTGCAAGTGCCGCTTGAAAGAGGAACTCCTGCACATTCAGTTACAACAGTCAGAGTCCGTGACAAGACTGCAAAAGCCAATAATGCATTCTTCTTTTCCTTTAAAACATTTCTCCGTGGCGAGCGCTCGGGGTTGCCGGAGTGCTGCCCTCAGAACGTCCGAAGAGCTTCCAAGAGCCCTTTGCAGTTTGGAGCCGGTGCTCATCGACTTCGGGATGGCGGTGCTGCACAAGTCACGGCAGAAACTCCAGGGAGGCGCGGCCGCGAGAAGGCTCTCGTTTTAAGCTGTGACGTGCAGAGTGCACGGAGAGGCTCTCCACGGTGGATGGCGCCGGAGCTGATCAGCTCTCTGAGCCAGGGAGGCCTCGCACCAGGCCCAAGCTTCAAGGGGTGAAACACGCAGGCGCAGCACATAAAAAGGATGAACAAGACGGCACATAGCTTCGGAAAAGCAGAGCACCTCCATCCCGACCTCCAGTTTTCAGACGCTCTGGCGTAGCCCAGCGCCCTGCCTCCGAGACTGTAGCGTGGACGTCTTCGCCTTCGGCCGCGTGTGCTTCTTCGTCGCCACCGGACAGTTGCCGCTGCAAGAATACACAGTGGACGAGCTGAAGCCTGGCTGCATCAGAGCAGTTCACGGGCACAGACCACAGGGCTTGAACCCACATCCTCATATCCTCAGACTGTCTCAGACTTTCTCAAGTCCTAAGGGATGACCAAAACCCGCAAGACCCAAGACTCCGCCACATAATCATCCCGAAGGAACACCCTTGAACATCTCCACCCTCAGCCTGAAACCTGGGGCTTGGTTATATCATGCAACATATGGTATAAGCTGTAAAATGAAAGATATAATTCCAGATATCTTTCTCTATATTATCTGTCTATCTACCTACCTACCTACCTACCTATTTATCTATCTACTTATCTGTATACATGTATATATATATACACACATACTGCATCGGTCTATATATATATATATACACATATATATACATATATATATATATATATTCATACATACATACATACATACATACATACATACATACGTACATACATACATACATACATACATACATATATATATATATATGTATATATATATATATAATTTACATAGGGTTGTTTCGCTTCGGTCGAGGATGGCGGCCTCAGAGCAAGGGCAGCTGCCTCCAATGAAGTGGCCCGAGGGGGCCCACAGCTTTCAGGTGCCTTCGTTGCTATTTGGTTTGGTGGGTTTAGGGTTTAGGGTTTTTGTCAGGGAGCTTAGTATGAGCAACTGTGATGAGGGAACCCTATTCTTTACTATAGATCCACATTCTGGCAACAGTTAAGCTCCAACCAGAACTCAGCTTGGGGGGTTTCGAGGCATTGGGTTTAGTGCGTGAGGGTGTCTCTGCGTGTTTTTTTTTTTTGTCGGGGTTTCAAAATTGTCTGCACAAGCTGGGATGTCGAACAGAGAAGAGGGCATTACTGGTATTCTTGTTTTATCTTGGAGAACTGAGATGGTCAGGTTCGCGAGTTCCTCGCCCAACATGTACGGAATCCGGAAAACCAGTGAGCCCAGGACAGCAGTCTCATCGCGTTCTGCAAGGCCCGGCACGGTAATCCTTCGAACAACTGCAGTCCTAAAACATAGCCGAGATCGCACAGGCAAGCATGCTTAAGGACAAGTGCGCTACAGAGTCGACTGTTGCTTTTGTGGCTCGGTTGGTCATGTTTCTGTCCGACTGTCTACCTGTTTCGAGCAAAACAGCTGTTCTGGTGACCAGTATCGGCACATATATTTTCAGGGCGACCCAGCCTTTGAGCATCTGCTTTGCGCTTGTGCCACTGAAGTGTAGACTCAGGAGGAGCTCTGCGCAGGCCTCAGCTTGCTGCAGGTAGGAAGGGTGGGTCTTGTACTGAGAAAGCCTCTGGGTCCTCGCTGGCCTGTGCCCCTCGAGCATCGCAGATCTGAGGCCCGCTATGTGTAGCGACCAGCCCCACAGATCGGTGCAGCTCTGCGGAGGTTCGGAGATTTCATGCCGTGGTTCAGAGTCCATCTAAGTGCTCATACCCTGTCGGCGTGACAGAGCCACATCAGCTCTAGCAATCTTGAAAACCGACAGTGCATCAAAAGCCAGCGCCACTGTTGCCGAAAGCTCCGAGCATAGCGCTCGTAAGCTGCAAGAATCTTAATGATGAGCTCAGGGTCATGTACCCAGTTTAACCAGACGATTGAAGCAGAAATTCGCGTACTGATGTTGCACGTCTGAAAGTGCTTCTGCTGCCTCGAACATGCATAAGCTCCAAACATTGTGTGCTCCAAGAGGCAGTCAACCTCCTCCAGCGGCAGCGACCAGAGCCAAAGCGACTTGCCTCAAGGGTTCGACAGCACTTCAGAAGCTGTGGTGGCATATATGTTCTGGAGCAACGAGGTAATTTCTAGTGTTTCGTGCATGGTCGGCTTGCTTGGGAGTGCTGGCCAGCCAGAACATGCCTTGTGTAGTGCGTGTGGCTCTCAGCCTATCGTCTGTTTTGGGCGTGATGGGCCTGTTGGGTAAGAGAAGCCAAGCTGCTACCAGTAGCTGTTGAAAAGATGAGCCTCCGAACATGTCGCCCATGAGAGCACGTAGGGCCTGCGCTTGCAGATGCAAGTTGTGGTTGTCTTTTCGAGGATGTGTTGATTCCTGACAGTGACAAGCTTCCCACGAAGGTTCGATGCGCTCAGTGTCGTAGAGTTCGCTTTGGCCGCAGAAGGCCGGTTCGGGAACTTGGAGCTGTCGATGGTTCAATACGATTTTTGGACGAGAAGAAGCTTTGGGGACACCTCGCAGGAAAGATCATGAGTAGTCATCAAACCAGGACCTAGTAATAGTACAGCTGTACACGAAGGCAAGTCTTGTAACCGTCAGAGTAGTTCCCCGCAGGATACTGATTGGTGCGTTGTACGACCCCGGCCATAGATTTATTAGATTTGGTGCAGATGAGACTACTGTGCTTCAGGCATGCCCGTGAAAAATGAGCGGGTGAGCCTACACTTGTGATACAGTCTCACCAATGCGGCTCCGTGCCTCTCAAAACATGGAACCGACGCGGCTGTCTGTGTACAGGTCATCGTCATTTGATGGTCTTGGTGGAAGTCCGTAAGATCGGTGCTGAGGTTTTTGCTTCAACAAAGCTTCAGTAATTGCCTTCGCGGAGCTGAAACCGGGATCGAAAAGGAAATCTAAAAGGTTGCGAATTGTCGAGTCTTCCCTTTGCCAGAACACGCCTGGAACCAACTCCGAAGGTAATGGAAAGCAAGCATCTGGCAATGGTGGCGGGTCGCTCCGAAGGGGCACGCGCAGATTTCGACTCGCGGGTGGTGTAAGCACTGAGTCCCGGCCAGCTGCAAGAGGGTTTAGGGCCCGGCAGCTGGTGTTTCGACCGTAATTTTTTTTTGCTGGGGGAGAAGTTCGGCTTGGTGCCATATGGTGCCATCAGGTCGTGCCCCCCAGGACTTGCGTAGTAGAGGACCGGACGGCGAGGCTAGATATGCACAGCTGGACTGGCCTGTGAGTTTTCGCACTCGCTGTGACAGCAGTATATTATAGTGATCCACAGCAGTCTGGCGCGATTCCAGCTATGCGTTTCCGCTGATTCTGCCGTGCTAAGTCTAAGTCGGCGAAATCTGTTCCGAAACCCACGCTTCACAGACGCTACCATCTTGGACAGTCTGGAGCGGGGCTGAACGGCTGAGGACATTCGTGCATCGATACCGCTTGAGCCGCGCAGAAAGTTCATGTCATCCCTCGGGCTCATCAGCCAGACTTGTGCTCATTGCAGCAGAATCCGAGGCACAAGAACGCTGCATGGGGGGAGTGTTTGACTGCAGGAGTGTTTGACCGCAGGACATACCACCTGCAAATCGAAGAGGCAGCCTTCACGGATGCGCCAGCCTTATGGGAAGCCGCAATCCAGGGATAATGTCGCACTTTCATGCAGAAAATGGGCTTCGTGAAGAGCTAGTCTTTTGTAAGCAAGAGGACCCAGCTCCATTCATTTCTTCCAGGCCGTCACTGTGGGGGAACTCCAGAAGAACTTGCTGGCAGAGTGTGGTGCTTGGGTACATCATCATGCCTTGCACAATCCAGATTTGTCATCGCATCCTTTGCGTTCGAGGTCCGGCTTCCACTTCTCAGTGCATCCGGACACTGACGGTCCAGCCGTGGTCCCAGATTTTCCAGTTCTAAGTTCTAGTCCGAGGTGTATCGAAAAGCGGGTAACCCGGAAAAGCCCTCAGTTACACTCCAACGCTTTCAGTTTCAGACTATGGTTGAGGTTTTCAGGAGCCCTCTGACCACACCTCTCCATAATGTAGTGTTTGCGTCGGCGTACAAGGACCGCATTCTTAACACAGGCAGAAGAAGGGGCATGCAATTCCCATATTGGCTAGAAGTCATCACCAAGAGGAACTACCCCCAACTATGGAAGCCGGACCACCCCGCAGCCAGAACTCCTCAACATAAGTATGTAATAATTTCCAAAGAGAAGGCGGAAATCGTCTTTTGAGATGGCGCCAAAGCGCGCACGCACAGAGCGCGCAGGGCCGCCCTAAAAAACCCAAACCTCTAAACCCTCAGCCTATTACAGAGCTCAGGCTTCGGTGCGTTGTCTCGGGCTTCCGGCTCAAACCCTAAACCCTAAACCCTAAAGGGCTCATCAGACGAACTGCTCGCATAGGGCGCTTGGGCTTGGAGTTGGGGGCGGCTTTGGGTTCGCTTCGGAAGCAAAGGTGTGTTTTAAGAGTATAGGGTTTAGGGTTTAGGGTTTAGGGTTCAGGGTACGGGGTATAGGGTTTAGGGTTTAGGGTTCAGGGTGTATGGTTTAGGGTTTAGGATCTTTGAACGAGTCGGGTCTTGGAGCACTAACCAAACATGAACCCCAAGCTCTGAACTGACGAAGCCGTGCACTCCGAACAGCACAACCTTGAACCGCAGACCCCGAGCCCACACCCTTGAATCTCCGTAACGATAACCCTGAAGCTCACAAATAAGCCGCAAACCCTAACCGAAGCCCTTAACTCTAGACTTATAGAACTATAAGTCCGTAAACCGGAAACCCTATTTCCAAGGCTAGGAACCTCTGCCAAGCCAAATGCAAGGACGCTCACCAAGCGATCGCCTGCCTCAGGCTTCTCTGTTTTAGGATCTGGGTAGTTCTCTAAATTGGGATTCCTTTCGGGGTCCCTTCTTATAAGGGTGCCGTACTATTTTGGGCACCTGTAAAGCGACTCTGCGCATTCAGGGTTTAGGATTTCGGGTTTCGGGTTCAGGGTGGCAGTCTTTTCGTGAGATCCGGATAGACGTTTTTGTGAATGCGATGTGGCTATAGCGGCGCCAACCTGTTACACTGTAGGATGGCTCGTTTTTCTATACAAAATGGATATATTGGTCTCAGTCAGTGGGTCATGATTTGGGTTACAGGCACCGTCGTTGGGGTTCCCACGAAGTCCAAATATCCAAGGTTCAACGGATTGTGGCCTGGGAAAAGGTCCCTGAACAATGGCTGAGTAACCCTGACCCCGAACTCGAAACCTTTAAGAAGGCATCCTGACCCCTAAATCCCTTGTATTACCCTTCTAAAACACCTAAACCCCTGAACCCCTAAACCCTAAACCCATAAACCACAAAAAGCCCTAAACCTCTAAACCCTAAACCCGGCCTTGACGCCGCTCATGTCGGCG